ACACTTGCTGTTATATCCGTTAGAGCTCTTTTTCTTTTTTTTTTTTTTCCCTCTCTTTTTTACAACAAAATTTACACATCTTGGATTTTATTACTCCTTAGTGCTTATTACTTTCTTTGGGGGGGGGGAAGAATACAGTCAAATATGGCAAAACAAAGCTGTCAGTCAATACCAAGGATAGACATAGCACATGGTGTAGAACAGAGTACAAGTTTATCAACAATGGTTATCTGATTGCTATTTATTAACTTCCTCCAGCTTGTTTAATAGCAGCTAACAGGCAGATAGAGTTTTAAGTGGATTCATTTCACATGCAGACAATCCATCAAAAGTAGCCACTAGCCATACTCTCAGGACTAAAGTCTTGAGCAGATCATAGCAGGGGCCTCCTGCAGCACATGCACAAGCCCTGCCCACTGAACTCTGCAAATGCTTTGCCAAACACATCATCCAAAAGCCCATTACTGGAGAATTCATTTAGAGAAATTCATCATCTGTCAAAGGTGTGGCACAGAAAAATGTGCATTAGTGTCTACAAGAGGCTCTTGTAATGAAAGCGCTAGCATTTGTGGCAGGTGGGTAAGTCAAGGCTACAGTTGAAGATTCTTATTTGAAATTGTTTCAATTGTTTGAATTGTCTCAGATTTTAGACTTTTTCAGGCAGACTTTAAAAAGATCTGGAACCAAGATCATGTTGGTCCTTGAAAAGTTGAATTTCAGAGCATTTCACGTTTGGGGGTTTGGGGTCAAGTATGCTCAACTTGCATATATACAGTTCAGGACTCTGTGGGTTCAGGCTCTTGAATGTTCCTCCATGGACAAAGGGAATTACTATACATACATCAAAACACAACTATATTCTCTTAGTTGCTAGGAAGGCAATTTCTCCTAGAAACTCATCTTCATTCAAATAAAATAAATGAATGTCTGAAACACCTGCTGTGGGTAGAGATTGGCCAGGCTAGGTTTTCTTTCTGTGGCTTATGGGGCAAGAAGAGAGCCCAGCATGGGGAAAAGTGACCTGCATATTGGTGGTAGAGGTGGCCGAGCCCTTTGGCTGTGTGCTCAGAGCCCGTGCCCCTCTCTGAAGCTTTCCTCTGTGTGGTGCATCATGAAGACATATTGTTCTGGAGGGCGTCCTGAAGGACTCTAGCATATTGTACTCATTTAGGCATAGAGAAAAGGGGAGACATTTCAGACACTCTCCTAATCAAGCTCTTGCAGAAAACGTGCAAGGGGCTGACAGAGCCCAGAGAAGACATGTTTCTTCCAGGGAAGTCACAGCCCCGAGGAGGAGCTGACTGTCTTGCAAGAGGAGTCAGGATCAGCAGCCTCAAAAAGGAGCAAGGGCATTCCGAGCCGAGAATAACAAATGGATTTGGGCCTTGTCAGGCCATGGCCTTCACGGATTTCCCGATTACTGGGCCGCGGTGCCTGACCCTGCCTGATGACCATGGTAAATGCAGTTAGAGTCACCCTTATCACCACAGCTTGTATTTCTACTGGGTTATCTAAGGACAGAGACAGAGAGCTCACTCAGATAAGGGCCTGTGTGCATCCCACCCATCCTGTCAATTACCCCTCCGCTGATTTGCATGCCTTCTCCTTTGCAGTATAGCTGGGCTGGCAGAGGGGCCTCTTCGTTTTAGAGGTATCTATTGTGCTGTCAGCCTTGGTTTACAACACAATAAGCTTACAGACACTTAGAATTAATGAGTTCCTCACTAGTGTTCGCAAACACATTAAAAATGAGCAGGTAGCAAATTATCTGTGGATCCCAATAATCTGCACTTATGTAAATACCCAGTTTTAGTAGACTAGAATTGTTTAAAAGTCCCTCATCATTTGTCAGGTGGTATGTCAGCTTAATGGGCCCCTGTGCTCGTTTATGGGTCACCATATCCCACTAACCAGTATAAATTGTCTGCTGGCTCCCTGTGCTTCCAGAAACCCACTGAAGCCTAAGAACGTGGCTCCAAAACCATACCCAGGTTGCAGTCTGGGTGTCTGAACCCCTGGTTGTTGTAGAATCCACTTTTTCCAAAAGTACATCCCCATGAAAGACACAAATATGGGAAAAAATAAGCATGGGTTTCGTGTGAGTCTTTCTTCCTCTTGTTCGCTGTGTAGTTTCAGGCAAGGTGCGTAATTCTGAGCCCCAGTTTCCTCATCTGCAAATGGACATAATAACAGCAGTTTTGCCATGAAGATTAAATGAAACAGAGTAACAGCAAATTTATCCAGCTCACTACCCTGACGGACCAAAGCATTTCTATACAAACTCCACAGAGTCTCTTGATAAACTCACTTCACAGAGGAAAGTACTCTTGGGTAACTCCATTTGAAAATGAGAAACTGAGGCCCTCAGAGGTGAAATCATTTGTTTAAATTCACATAGCCTGACAGCGATGGCCCTGGGATTCAGACCCAGGCACTTGGTCTCCCTAGATTTTGCTCTTTTAAGTACTGTGCCATAGTGACTGGCATGGTCCCAGGAGAGAAGTTAGTGCTTCGCTGCAGGGAATGAGAGAAGTGAATCCATGTGCCCATGCCTTCAGGAAACACCGGACTGTCAGAGAGATAAAACACATAAGCCCTTGGTTAGTATTATCACTATGGTAATCTTATTAATTCTTATTGCTGCATAACCAATCGTGACAAGTTTAGTGGCTTGAAGCAGCACCTGTTTATGATCTCACAGTGTCCATGGATCAGCAGTCCAAGCGTGGCTCGGTCAAGTCCTCTGTTCAGGGTCTCACAAAGCTGTCTTCCTTTCTAGGCTCGAGGTCCTCTTCCTGCTTACATAGTTGTTGGCAAAAATTGGTTCCTCTCTCCTGGAAGACTGAGGCCTTCAGCCCTTCAGCCTGCCCACGGTTCTGGATACACTTTTCCTACACAGTTCACACTGTGGCAGCTCACTTCTGCAGACCCTGCAGGGCCAACTCTTTCTTAAAACCATTTCATAAAAGGTGACGTGGTCAAAGAATAGAGATTACATGGGAGCCTGACTCATTGGGGTCACACAGGGTATCTCTGTTGTGCAGTTTATTGTCAAAGTCAAACACTTTTTTAAGAGTGAAAGGATGCTACTGTTTATACTGGGACAAGGCATAAATCAGGGCAGTCTTGACCAAAATGGGATCTATGTATATCCTAGATATAAGAAGCATAAGAATCTTACTATGAGGCTCATGAGGACGGAGTACAACTTTGAGCAGATGGATCTGAAAGTACTTCTCTGAGTAGGTGACTTTCCCACCAGGCTCTGAAGTATAGGTTAAATTTCTCTACCTAGAAGTGAAATGCAGGCATGAGACTATTGCAGGCAGAGGGAGCAGTTTATAGAGAGGTAATGGGGCAGGTGCTTGGAAAGGCGTGTGGATATAGGGTCAACCTTGCTCTGTGCTGCTTGGCTGGGGCTTTGGCCATCAGGGTCTGAGTGGTGGCCATGCTCAAGCTTCCCTAGAGATGCAGAAGTAGGAAGAGTCCTCATCACAGGGTATTTAAGGCCAAGGGACTAACATCGCACTATTGGGCTGTTTTCCTGACTACAGAACTTGGGTTATTTCGTGAATGTGGCAATGTAGCCGAATTTCTGGTTGTTCAAGGCTTTGTAGCAAAACCTTCCATCTGTAGAGGGTAGAGACTGACTGCAGGACTAGGAAATGCACATTTGTTCCAGCAATGGACCCGGGTCTGCGCTGTGTATGCTGACATGACATAGTGCAGAAACCGAGTGCTAGCTGATAGGGGATTCTGTGCTGAAAGTTAGCTGGAACGTAAAGGAAGTGTGGAGGGTTTGGAAAACATTGATCATTGCAGCCTGGGTGGGTCCACGCAAACCTTCTATGCTCGTCTATTTTAGTTTGAGTTTTTTAAAAAACAAAAACATGAAGTAAACAAAGAGAACTTACCAATAACTTTCAAATTAAATACATATGTCAAGTTTTATGTCCATTTTGACAAGAACAAAAATGTACACAGCAGCCACCGAGTGCCAAGCACTGGACCAATTATCTATACAGGGCAAGTTGGTGAAGAAAATACTATCATCCCCATTTTATAGATCAGGACACTGAGGCTAAGATACATATAATGGCAAATTCTGTAATCCTGTCTTCTGTGTAGGATGCCTTTATTGGCTGAGCAAAATACTGCAGGTTTGTATAGTCCTTGGATATAGACGAATATACGAATTCTTCAAACTGGCGTGGGGATGATAAAAACCAGACACAGAAGGTTGGTCTCCTTTGGGAAAAGTGAGATCAGAAATGGATTATAAAGCCATATACACGTGCAGAAGCAACCCAGAACAAAAAGGAAGAAGCATGACACAATGTCAAATTTGATAAAGCTGGTGGTCGAGAATGCAGCATTAGTTATAGTGTTTACAACACACTTCAGAATGTTTGAAATATGCATAATAAAAAATAAAATTAAACAGATGAAATGCACAAAGGCCTTGGAGATAAGTTACGGTTGTGATTGCCAACATTAATTCTGCCCAGGAAATGTCAGTGGGTGAATCTCTCCCCACAGCAGCCACAGAACATGCATTATGAGTACGCGTTCTAAAGTGACTGCGATCTATCTCTGGAGCTGGGTGCTGGCCAGTAAATTTACAGCTAAACAATAGAAAGTTTATAGCTCAACAGTGCAAGTCACGTTAGAGCTGTGGTCATTAGGAGCAGTGCCGGTCAGGGCCTAAAGGACTACGGGAGGAGGAGAAACCGTCCTCAGCTGGAGGAGCCTGGTCTCTGGAGCCATACAGGCCTGGAGGGTGAGATGCTCTGGGAGATAATGACACATGGAGATGCTTCCTGCATATCAGAACTCTGCTGCAAAGTGCTCTGAACACACTGTTCCATTAGCTCCTCAAAACTACCTATGACGCGACATAAATTGTATTCATTTTAGAGATAAAGGGAACTGAGGGTCAGAAAGATTAAGTAACCTGCTCAAGATATACAGCAGGAAGCGGAGGCACTGGGATTCTCATCTAGATCTGTTTTATTTTAAACCCACTGTTCATTTCATGCCATCAAAATCCCACCCTATGGGAGTTCTTTCCACCTGAGTCTTTCAGGCCGCAGATCTCGTTCTTGTAGGCTTGGTTCAGGCAGAGTGTAAGGTACCGCCTTACGAGACAGCCAGGGACTCATTGGCAGATGTCAAAAGCCAGGAAGGAGTTGGAGCTTCTTTGCAAAGGTAGCAGGTGGGAGGGTTTCACTAATTTTTCCTGGCTAAGTCTAGCAAGAAATAACGTTCCTCATTCTTAGGAGAGAGACTACAGAATGGAAAGAAAAAACTGCTGGTGGTCACAGGTAACAGACACATGGTCCTCCTGAGAAGGTCCCACCACTGGAGCAACTTCCACAGGCAGCAAGTCCCGCTGGCCTTCAGGGCAAGGTAGCCATTTGGCCTGTAGTATAAAAAACAGAACAGGAAAGTACATTTGAAGGGGAAGAGCAGGTGTTCTATTTTCTGTTGTTGAGATACAGCACTGGACACCTAAAAATTAAAGGAGGAAAGGTTTGTTTTGGCTCAGAGTCTGTAGAGGTTTCATTTCACAGTCAGTGACTCCAAGGTAGGGTGGCATGGCAGAGGGGAACTATTCACAGCATGGTGGGGGAAGAAGAAAAAGAGCAAAGGAAGGAGCAGGGAAAAGATAAACTCTTCCAGACCACACCCCCACGGGCCCACCTGCTCTGATCAGAGCCCAGGTCAGCAAAAAAAAAGCACCAGTGGATTAATTCACTAATGAGGCTCATGTCCCCCTGATCCAGTCACCTCCAGGAAGTCCCACCCATGAGCACATCAGGCTTTGGGGGACAGCTAGCTGTGAACCCTAACAGGGTGGTACTGAGGGTGGTTCTAAAGGTCTCAGAAGGAGGAGGGGGTTTCCAGGGGCCTGGGGCAAGTGGTTTTCCCAGCAAGGAGCAAATAGCAGGATGGAGGGGGCAGGCTTCCTCGTGCTCCAAACAACTTCAGTTGCAGCCACGTTCAGTTTGGGATCCCTCCCCTCCACAAACAGCAGATTTTTCATAAAAAGGGACTGTTAGTTTTACTTCTTTCCCAAAAGGAATTTCCCAGTGGAAAAATGAAAAGATCAATGGTGTGGCAGACACTTAGGCACGTAAATTCACTCCAAAGAAAGAGTTAAAGTGCTTTCTAATATAAATTGGTTTTCGGTATTTCAGTGCCAATATAATTAGATTGTAACAAGCAAAGCCCTGTAACATAACACAGCGAAAATTTGAAAATTTGATTCTGCCTGGCAAACAACCAAGTCCCCGCGTGTGCGCAAACCTGACATTAATAAGCTACAAGAGATTACATGATTTAGAAAAGAAGCACTTGGTGTTACCAAATCAAATAATAGATGTCTAGGCTATAATTAGGAGAATTGGGACTCAACAATGAAGTCATAATACTGTAATTTAGCTATGAGTAACAGAGCCACAGAGTCCCATTAGGAGGTGGGATAGTGTCTCAGTGGTGTACAGCTCCCAGTGGGGTGGCCGCTCCAGCACGTGACACACAGCCACCTGTTGACACTGGGATGCCACATGGTGGACCCTGGTTCTGTGTGGCTACATGGGATCTTCATACTTCAGACACATGGCTTTAAAGATGCAGCTCCCTGGGGACTGCTGAGAGGGGCAGAGCTGCTGCCAGGGCCACGTGGGAAAATTGGTGCCCCTCCATGCTTTCCGCGCTCAAGCAGGACGCGTTAAACGCACAAAAACATAAACAAAGCAAAACAAACACTGTGAAAAGTAAAAAGAGAATGGAGTGAGTCCAGCAACATCATTTATGGTCCCTGAGCTGCAGGGGATTGTCAGGTTGGGTGAGTGTATTTTTCCTTTGAAAGAGTTTCTACTTGAGTAGGCAGAGCTTTATTCAACCACCTCCTGGCAGAGTAACACAATCTGAGCTCTTAGGTCATAAAATCATGTAATTTCACATTGAAAAGCAATCCTAGCAGACCTCCTTAACCTAGGGTCCCCTAAGGGGTCTGTGGATAGAAGTGAATTTCAATATAATTGGTTTTCTTTGGAATCCTACGTATTTTATTTTATGCATTTCAAAACATTCTGAGAAGGGATCTGCAGCAGATGCTGGAAGTACCCCTCCACATATCCCTCCAACCTTTACACATGTCTCAGCTGGCTTCCAGCGCCAGCCTCTGGGTCTCTGGGCTTGAGAATTCTGCTCCGCCAACTATGCAGCATGGTCGGGATACCCATGCAGCAGGCTGGAGTTTTAAGACTTCAGGAGAAGGTGTTGACCCCAGCCCCCTTGGCCATCCCTGGGAAAATTCTGAGACAGGGTTTTGTATCATGTCCAGATTGCCCTGTTGGATAAAGCTTTCATGTACTTCAGTGACTTCTTTTCTCCCCGACTTGCCTATGAATATTTTCTGGACCTCTCAAGTAAATTACTTGCACTTAGGGATGGCTTCTGGGAAAGCTCAAGTGAAGATACAGCCCATAGATCAATCAGCTGCCAAAGGGATCCATGGAAATAAAAGGTTAAGAAACTTTGCGAAGTGTGTCTCTCCTCCTTCGAGTCACCATTTCCAGGCCAACCAAAGTGGGGCACAGAGAGATAAGCACCTTGCTCTACAAAAGAAAGTTAGGAGTATGATATTCACTTTCCTTTCAGCGATTGATTCCTTTATGATCGGATTTGCTAATGTGTTCATTTCACACATCCTACTCTTTCAACCTGATTTATCTCCTTATTCCTTTCCAAATTCCTTCAGTTGCCACGGGTCTTGCACTGCTTGAAATCACATTTCTCTTCTACACGGAAGGTATCTGGCAGGACCTTCACTCTGTGTGACCCTTTCCTGCTGCAGCTCCTCCTAAACCTGAGCCACAACAAAGTCGGGGACAAGGTCACCCGAGAATATGCTCTATCCACTCCAAGATTCCAGTGTAGGACTTAGCAAAGAGGTGGAAATTCATGTCTATACAAATATTTTGTTCATATTCATGTCATTGGTTTATAAAGGACTTTTTTTGTAATACAGCTTTTATTTTTACACGGCTTTTATTTTTCTTCTTCTTGAGGCAGGGTCTCCCTATGTAGTTCAAACTGGCTTTGAACTCACCATCCTCCTGCTTCAGCTTCCAGATGCTGATAGTGCATGTGTGAGCCACCACCCATATCTTAAACAAATTTTAGAAATGCTACAAAATAAAAGTTGTGAGACTAAAAATATTAGGCAGACGGGAAATAAAGATAAAATTGTAACAGGAAGTCAGGAGTAAATTTACATAGAAGTAACACACAACCATTATAATATTAGTAACAGTAATATAACTATTTATGTAGATTATTTTGTTAACCCCTCACAAGCATCTTAGGGAGTCAACAGTCGTTTAAATTACCTTCTTGTCTCTCAGACAAACTCACTGTAAGGGAAGACAGGCTTATTGTGGTTCACATTTTCAGTCCGTAGTCCACGGGCTGCAAGGCACAAGAGCACATTGGAGGAGCAGAGCAGAAGAAAAACCTGTTTGTGTCACTGTGCCCAGAAAGCAGAGAGAGAAGAGAAGAACCAGGGAGGGAGAAAAGCCTTTCCTAACCATGCCCCTAGTAGAACCCTCTTACCAGGACCTAACAGCAGGTCAGCTGTAGCACCCCCATAATTCAGTCACCTTCCAGAAGACCTGCCTCTGAGCTCCAAAGGCTCTTTGGAGACATTCAAATCTAAACCGTAACTGTGTTACTATTTTTATATGAGAGGCTTGCAGAGAAAAGTTCAGTATCTTTCCTCAAGACGTCAAGTTACCTCTAATTTTATTTCTCTCTCTTCTCATAAAATATGCTTCATTTTCCTTCTCTCCAAGTCAAAGAATTAATCTCAGTTTGCTGTTAGTACTACAATCTGATTAAACTGTGATTACCTTGTTTTAAATGACTTTTTAAATCTTCTTAACTAATATGGACCTCTACATTTTATTCATTCTGACATAGGAAATAAAGCAAACATTTTCTCAGTTGTTACAAGTTTATCGGCTCCACAAAGTGGATTTTCCACATTTTCATAAAGGTGCATCTAAGAGAATCAGGACTTCTGGCCAGGAGGCAAGTGTTAGAAAAGGAACCGCACCTAACTAGATAGTTTAAAGTATGGGCACTGATGACCATGGACCCGTACAATAGCTTGTCCTCGTGAACCTCAACATGACAGGGAGGAAGAGAAGAGATGTTGCTCCTCTGTTCCAAAACTTTCACACAATCATCATTCAAAAGGATTAAGGTTTAGTTTTATGGAGTTTCCAGTCTACATTTTTAACTAATCTAATTCTATGTTTAAATAACTTTACCCGGTAGTTCCACTTATCTGATGTTTCATATTCTAAAAATATAATACTGTACGCTACAATACGGCATATCTAAGCATCTGGGGACATTTTGACATTTACCTGTTTTATTTCAGTGTATTGTTATAATTGTTCCATTTGATGGTTATTGTTATCAGTTTCTTACTGTGCCTGATTCATAAATTACACTTCATCACAGGCATTTACATACAGGGAAGGGAAGGGTATGTATAGAGTTCAGTGGTGTCTGAGGTTGTAGATATTCCCTGGAGGATCTTAGACTGTATCTCCCACGTCCAAGGAGGCCTACTGTACTGTTTCATTTTCGTATGTGAAGATATCACGTAAGAATCTTACCAATTACTTCCTTCCTTCACTTTGTACACTGCTCATAAGTATGTTAAAATCACTTTTGGAAGTTAATTTTAATTTTCAGTGTCACTGGAATAAGAGTCTTCTGGATCATGGGAGTACTATATTCATCTGTGGATTAACGCTCTGATATTCATAGCTGATTGTACTGTGAGCAGGTGGATGTGTACTCTAGGCTGTGTTTTTGGAGAGCATATCTCTCACAGCTGATTGTCCCCTGTGTCTTGCTTCTAGAATGTTTTGAAGTAAGAAGTTTCACTGTGCCACACTTCTCTATCATAATATCATTGCCGTGCAGTCAGCCAACCATGGGCTGAAATCTCTGAAACCCTGAATCAAATAAACCATTTCCTCCTTTAAGGTGTATATGTCAGGCATTTTGTCCCAGAAATGGGAAAGTTGATTAACACAGCTTTCCCAAGATCTATTACTAGTATTACTTTAAACAATTATGAACTGAAAGTAAGAAAAATTAATATTATTTTTACCTGTATTTATTCTTTGTGTCATACTTTTTTCCTTATATAAAGTCAGGTTCAGACTTACATTATTTCCTTCAGCTATAAAACTTCTTTAGTGAGGAAGATGTGTTAGTGATCAATTCTCACATATTTTGTTCATTAGAGAGTATTTTTGTTTCTCCTTTACTCTTGAAATTTTACTGGATATAGAATTCCACATTGGTAGAGTTTGTGTGTGTATGTGTGTGTAT